GTGGTAGTTTTTGCCGCCACATTCTGTAAACACAACACAATTGATGGGATTCATACTAAATTCATCACATTTTTAACGATTTTGCTATCATTCCCTTTTATTTGTCACCTACTGTTTTTCGACAAAGGTTACCAAGATTTTTGAGCCATGAAGACAGAAATAAAATCTCCTTTTGATTGCCTTATCTAATAGGCCTCTTAAACGTATGCATTTGTTGTGATCTGTTGGGCATGGTATACTCTAAACTGACCCAGTATAATCAGTCTGCTGAGAAGATCCAACTTAATACGAGGAAAACATTTCATCTAAAACATTGTAGCACTTATTTCTAACTATTGAACAGGAATATCTTGAAGCTTTGTGGAAGTATTGATTGCAATTGTAGGTTTAAACTTTCAAAAAAAAAAAACGTAGGATGCTCGAACATGTTGAATTATGAAACTGCATTTTTTTTCAATCCCAAATGGCCACCAAAGTAGGATTTTTATAATGCTAAGGGAAAAATGATATTGTTTCCATGAAAAAAGTTCAGGGTACCCAAGATTTTTAACATCAAGAATTCAAAATACCTTAAACTTTCCACATTTTTCACTAGAATACTAAGACATGAAATGAAGATTTAAATTTAAAAGTTTCATGAATAAATCATTTTTCATTCACTATGCAATCTTGCGTTATGCAATAAACGTTTAAAGCAAGACAAAACATTGAAATTAAAACTCAAATCATTCTATTTTTACAGTAGACGTTTGATCATGGTCACATATTACACGAGATTGCATCTTGTAAATCCTTGTTACAGACAAATGCACTTTGGGATAATCTTAACACAATTCATTTTAACATAGTGAAACAATACTTACCTTGCACCAATTGACAAGGCTAGACCTATTGTATCCTTGTTACAAACAAAATAACACAAAAATCTTACCTCCCATCAACCTTGGGAATGACTTGTAGATATCTAAATTCTGACCAACTTGCTTCCAAAGATGACGAAAAGTTCTACAAAGAGAAAAGAAAGAAAATACATCAGAGATGGGTGCAGAACATCTACATGAATGTTAGACAAACTTGTATTGTTTGTTTGTTATTTCTTTTTTATAAAAATGTATCTGTACAAACTAATTTTTAAATTAATTGTAGAAATTGCATGAATATTCAACACTCAGCAGCAAAATGGAAATGAATTATTGTGACCACATTTTCATGGTATTTTAAACTTGGGCTAAAATCCGTGAAGATGAAATCTAAATACAAGCGTGATATATGAATCTGAAATTTGAATGCAAGGGTGAAATAAGAATATAAAATTTGAATGTACAATCTGAATCTACAATCTGTGGGTGTGCCAATCTGCCTCTGGAATCTGAAATTTGAATGTACAATCTGAATCTACAATCTGCCTCTGGAATCTGAATGAGAGGGTGAAATGTGAATCTGAAATTTGAATATACAATCTGAATCTACAATCTGTGGGTGTGCAATCTACCTCTAGAATGTAAATGCGAGGGTGAAATGTGAAATCTGAATGCGAGAGTCAAATGTGAATCTGAAATTTGAATGTACAATCTGAATCTACAATCTGTGTGTGTGCCAATCTGCCTCTAGAATCTGAATGCGAGGGTGAAATGTGAATCTGAAATTTGAATGTACAATCTGAATCTGCCATCTGTGTATGGGCAATCTGCCTCTGGAATCTGAATCAGTGAATGAGAGGGTGAAATGTGAAATCTGAATGTGAGAGTGAAATGTGAATCTGAAATTTGAATGTACCGTTAAAGTCCTAATATAAACCACATACGTAATAGTAACCGCACTCCCAATTCCGGCTTCGGGGTTAAAGAGTTCTTAACAAAAATTGAAAACTTGAAAAGTACCTATTACTAACCGCACCCCCAATT